GTCCCATACCGGTGCATACAATCCACAAAATCCATATAATTGATTAAACAGATAAAACTGTTCACCAATTAAAATCCATAAGGTATGAATTAACGTTTTGAGCTAAACCATACCTAGTATGTCACCGTCCCATACCGGTGCATACAATCCTCCATATCCATGTAAATTACAACATATAAATAATCAGCAAGTAATTTACAGTCCAAAACCAAATATCCAAATAACTGCAGAATAGTATATGTGATACTACAATATGTACAGTTCAAACCAATAATCCAATTAATTGTACAATTAACATCCAAACCATGTAAATTACAACATATAATTAACAGTTTAGCAATTTACAATCTAAAACCCTCCTAAATAATTGCAGAAGAGTATTTATTATTTCAACAATTTAAATACAAGAGTTAAACCATAAAGTTGCAGGAAACAATTAATAATTCGGAAACTACCATCCAGAGCATACATAGATTAAATTTAATATATCAATGACTCTATCAAGCATTAAAATAAATTCTATAATCATATTATAGTCCAATAAATCACTACATTAATTTAAACAATTTAATTCCTTCCATCCGATAATAGCGTACTAAGTTGTATACTTGTATTCCATCTTATCTTTTAGCACAGAGGCACGCCCTATGCCCCAAGTCCAATTTATTAATTTAAAAGACTTCACTGTGCTTTTAATCTTCATTTAGAATCATTATATAGCACCCTAAGTTGTCAAATTAAAACTAGACAACAAATCTCCTTCCAACCGTTAACCGTACGCACAATTGTTAAATTAGCGCACTGTTAATTTCATTCACTTAGAGGTCAACCTTACTCAATTTAAGGACTTAATAACTCTCAAAGCCAACCCTCTAATCCCTCTGTAAAACCCTAGAGTCAACAGAAACGTTCCCATGCTCCAACAGTATCCAAACAGTTCGTAAAAAAAAAAATCAGAAAACTACTATTTGAAAGAGCCTGCTCTAAATTCCAAGAGCAGGCTCTTTTTTTGAGCCTGGAGCCGGCTCTAAGAATGTAGAGCCGGCTCAATGAGTATGGGAGCCGGCTCCCAGATCCATGGAACCGGCTCTCACCTCCTTTGAGAGCCTCTGTCCCCGTTCTGCTCCGTTCTGACTTTCTGCTTCTTCTCCGGCATGTTTCTGCTCTTCAGTTGGTTTCAAAAACTGATCCTAAGGGTCTTATTAATATCCACTAGCATCCCAAAGGTTTGATTTTAACCATATAAATTAATTACATAGATCAAATTTTCTACTGAACTAGACATGCTTTAGGGACAACACTGAAACTATCTTGCAACCACAGCTCCATTCCAACCCCTTTGTTCCTCAATAATACTGAACCTAAGGTCTTCTATCACCCCATTAATATCCCCATGGTTCGTTTGTAGAAGATGGAAGCAAGTACAGTAACAAACATTACAACAGAACTTAATATGCTTTTAAGAACAAAACTGGGAGCGGTTAATACATGAACTGTAAACAGAGTTGAATTTACGACAAACAGATCATTCATATAACATATATTAAACATATAACTTCCAGTTATTGATTGATTAAACCCTAGAGATTATTTAGGTGCACAGAACATGAGCCAAAGAGAAGGAGAAAGAGAAGAACTTGCCTGTGATTTCAGTTATGAAATCCCTGCGTCGTCTCTAAGTTTCCGGCAACTACTAACTTCCTTCAAGCCTCCTATGGGTGTGATCTAATCCACCACAACCCTCCTGTGACCCTCTCTGTTCTTGTCCTTGGTAGCTCTTACCATTGCCTCTGTTATCTCAACTCTCTCTCTGTTACGTTCTATTTTTACTGTGCCGTGAATAGGGTTCTTCCAAAACCCTTAGTGAAACTCATACACGTATATATATATAGGCCTTTAGAAAACCCTAATTAAACTAGAGCTAAGGCAGAACCCTAATTAAACTAGAGTCGGCCCATAAACTTAAGTCACATACACGTTAAATACTTGTATGACGGCTCCACGAAATCCTATCTGAAAACTGTTAATTCAACTTCTACTTAAGCACTTATTAAAGACAATTAAATAATTAACCAAATAAGGCATTTAAAATACAATTTAAAATAAAACAAACAATACAATAACTCAGATAACTAAACAAACCATAATTCAAATAAAGAAAATAAGACAATTAAATAATTAACCAAATAAGGCATTTAAAATACAATTTAAAATAAAACAAACAAAATACAACAATTACAAAATCAATAGACAAAAATGCACATAGAATGAAATTTAAATTCCAATTTTATCCTTTTTAATTTTAGGGGTATTACACACACACACACACACACACACACATACACACTAAATATAAATATGACCAAATGTGTTTTTTGCTGATCCAGGAACCAAGTTTAATTGGAATTAGTTCTCAGTGGCTATATGTACGTTTCAAATTGAATATATATAAGGCTACAAAACATTCACCACGTGCATCCCACATGTCTTTTCCTATTTATTTGAAATATGCAATACTTCTAATCCACAAATGGAATAAACCAAATCCGCAACTTTCTAATCCTATGAATGTATTCATTTTCTTGGCAATTAAATAGTAAACCAACTGATATTAATTTAATTTAATATAATATATAATAAATATTTACAATTTTTTTTTTCACTTGTAAGAGAAACATTTGTCTTTTTCTTATTTTCACTATATAATGTTTCAAATTTTTTTTTTTTTTTTTGGCGACTCTATTTGACCTAAAAATTATAAGGTTTAAGTGCAAAAAAAACCCCCTTGATATATAGACTTTGTGCAAAATTGGTCCCTATTTTTTGAAAATGTGCATGCAAGTCCACAAAATTTAAAAAAAGTGCATAACCAGTCCCTCTGACAACTTTTTACAAAAAGTAAAACTGAAAACCCCATTTTACCCTTTTGTTTTCCATTTTGCCTTCACCATTTGTGCATAAAAGACCTTCAGCATTTTTCAACAAAGCAAAAGCTCGATGATGAATGATCAGAAAATTGAGAAGCTTTTTATTTCAATTAAACCAAGCATTCGCCAATAGATCAGGCATTACTCAAATTGCCATGGAATAATTTCATCTAAATGATTAGTCTTAAATGTTCTATGTAATGAGGAAAACTTATAGCAGTGCAACGTAGTTTTGGTGAATACTGGAGACAACACGACAGGAAGCTCCGACGACGACGACTCCTACGACACTAACTCTTGCCGTAACTTTACTGTCCTCTTTGACCAAACCCAGTTCAGTCCGGCTAGCATCCGCCCACCTCTAGATGTCTTTTTTCTTACTCCCGGCCCCGGAAAAAGAGATGAAGAGACGGAGACACCATCCCTGCCGATGCTTGCGACTCAAGCACAGTCACCATCACTGCCGATGCTTGCGACTTAAGCACAGTCACAGTAACCAACACAGTTGCTTGAAAGCTTGTCGAAGTATGTGTGTTTTCCCGTTGGTTCAGCGATGTTGCCGAAGTGGAGTTCTCTTGGGATGTTGCCGAACTGAAATTGGGTTGCTCTTAATTCAGTCGTCGCCAACGTCTTAGCTCACTCGCCAGAATCAGTTTTGAGCTTTGCGGTTTGTCATTCAAGTGGGTCTCGTGAGCTTGTTCCTTATTGCCGTCTAGGGACATGTAGCATACTGGTGTACAGCTCACAAGAGCAGTGACTGAAACACGCTGTGCGTCACTGGCTTTTTGCATGCAGGTCATGGGACCAAAAGTACACCGAAGCTCAATGATTTGTCATCTTCATCAGAGCATGTGAGTCGCGGAGCTCGTCGTTAGTTATGGAGTTCACCGGCATTCAGTTGCTGCTTTGAAGCTCACTAAATACACATGCATGGAAGTGTAGCTCGCTGGATGAGCACCGAAGTGGGTCTCATTTGCTTGAACTGTTTGTTGTAGTTTGGAGCTTTCTGTTTGTTTTTGCCGGCTTTGATGGTGGTTTCGTAGTCAATGGAGCATCTAAATGATGGCAACAGTGGTCTCTCTCTCTCTCTCTCTCTATATATATATATCAAGCTTGGCCACGATTTCATTCTTGCATGGGCGTGGAGAGGTTTTAGAGATGACCGGTATCTTTCGCCGTCGATCTTGTTGCTGATACGTTCATCGCCATCAGGTCCGATCTTGTTGCCGCCGATACAACCTCCTCACAAGATTCAGATTTTGCGTTGAAGACTTAGATACCTCCTTCGACTTCATCAATTTTCATTATGTTCTCCCAAACAGAACCTGCAACTACACGGTTTTTTTTTTTTTTTTTTTTTTTTTTCAATTGGATCTTGGGTCTGCTAATGGTGTTGTTTACAAAGGGTGATTGTGGATGCCGATATGGGTTTTCAACTTTTGATTCTTGCAGCAGATAAATAAACTAAAATATATGGGTTTTGAACTTCTGATTCTTGTTGTTTGCACTTGCACACACAGAGAGAGAGAGGGGGGGGGGGGGGAAGTTCAGAGTTGAGAACGAGAACAAGATGAAATGATTTGCCCTAAAACCCATAGATTTGCCCTAACGATATATGGCGCGCGCGCATATATATATATAAATGACAAATTTATTTATATTTTAAAATTTGAAAGGGCATGTTTGGTTTAAGATTTAATTATATTCAGGTTTAGGTTATCCTAATTTTATACAATTTGAGGTTTATATTATTCTTCTGCCAAACAAACTCTATTTTATACAAATTTGAACAAAAGGGTCATTTTACATGGACTATATTTATAATCATTAATTTATTTAACTGAAGTGAGGGTATTATCGTTATTTTACACCACCAGGGACCTATTTACACAAAATTGATAGTATAGGGAGATTTTTTACCCCACAAGAACTGTATGCACCGTAGGTTTTTTGCCCATAACCCAAATTATAAACACACTCTTGGTGGCTTGAATTTTCGATTAATGACAATCAAATACTCCGTACGAATTTATTCATAAATAATCCATCTGCCCGAAACAATTCGGATCAATTCCGGATCAAATCAAGCTTGATCCAGTCATAAACCAATCCATTTTACAGGCGTACAGAATCAAGAAGTGTACTTCGACTTGGTGCGTTCATGGGCACCCATTTCTCTACGCCATACTCATGTGGCAAGGTTAGTCCATAGCCTCGTTTTCTTCTCTGTCTCTGTATCGAGCTTTTCTGAAACTACTATGTATATAGCATCAATGAATTGAATGATTTTTCTATTCAGATTAGCTAGAAATGGCTATTATATTGATGCTTCACTGCTTTCTCACGCAAATGTAGAGCTTGTGTACTTAGATTTTGTATTACATCGTGCAGTTCATTAACACATAGGAAAGGAACATCTGGGTATGAAGGGTTTTCTCAATTTCTGTAATATCTCTAGTGCAATACAGTCTAAAAGACTACAAACCCTAACCCTAACCCTAACCCCAAGTATAGGATTCTATAGATATTGTCATTTTGGTTCAAACCCATCATCCCGTTTGGTGGAGAAGACTGCGCAGAACAGGGTTGCAATTTTCTGGGATTTGGATAATAAACCACCAAAGTCATTTCCTCCTTATGATGCCGCTGTGAGGCTAAAGAAGGCGGTGGCATCGTTTGGGATTGTTCGTTACATGGTAGCTTATGCCAATCGGCACGCATTTAGTTATGTTCCTCCTGTAGTTAGGGAACAAAGGAAAGACAGGAAGGCATTGAATCAGTTGGAAAATAAGGGCATTATTAAACATACTGAATCTTATATATGTCGAGTTTGTGGGAGGAAATTTTATGCAAATGATAAGCTTGTCAATCATTTTAAGCAAATTCATGAGCGTGAACATACGAAACGATTGAATCAGATAGAGTCGGCAAGAGGGAGTAGGAGAGTAAGATTGATTTCGAAGTATTCGATGAAGATGGAAAAGTACAAGAATGCATCCAGGGATGTTTTGACTCCGAAAGTTGGGTATGGTTTGGCAGATGAGTTGAAACGAGCTGGATTTTGGGTTAGGACTGTGTCGGATAAACCACAGGCAGCGGACTTTGCCCTGAGGAATCACATGGTGGATATGATGGACAAGAGGCTAGTTGAATGTGTGGTGCTTGTATCGGATGATTCGGACTTTGTGGAGGTTTTGAAGGAAGCAAAATTGAGATGCTTGAAGACAGTTGTTGTGGGTGATAGCAATGATGGGGCTCTTAAGAGAACTGCCCATGCTGGATTTTCATGGCAGGAAATCAAGATTGGGAAGGCTAAGAAGGAGGCAGTATCGGTTGTGGGGCGGTGGAAGGACCGTGACATATTGAAAAGATTGGAGTGGACTTACGACCCAGAGATGGAGAAGAAACTATATGATTTCGGTGATGAGGCTGATGGTGAGAGTGAAAACTCGGATACTGAAGGCTTTCTTTCTGTGGAAGCTGATGATTTTATGCAGAAGGAAGATGCTGGTGCTTGGTGGGAACTGAAATCTGGTGGCGATGTCACATCTTCATAATCACTGGTGCAATTATTTGTGGGCATAAGTGCATTGAGTTGTGACCTGGTTAGTATGCTTACTTTTTTTGCCCAGTGTCTGCTAAATATTGTATGGACAAGGCATACGTAGTTGGATTTTACAAGTAAATGAGGTAGATGTAATTTTTTTTCTTCCTAAATGAAGGTAGATGTAATTTATTTTTCTTCATTTGACGCAACAGATGACAAAGAAGAGGAAGTTATATTATAACCTTCAAATGCCATATAATTAATTTTTTTTTTTTGCATGAAATGAATGAGGAGTGTAATTGTATGGCTAGCCTATGTTTTGAGAGCAATATCTGATACAAAAATAAAGGAATCCACGTTCTGTCCTAGTTTTGAAACCTGTTATTAATGTTTTTTCCCCCGGTAAATAACCTGTTATTAATGAACTATCATCTTCTGTACTACAAACATGCTTGTTATGCAAGTCCTCTAGAACTTTTCACATACTAATTTTTCCCTGATACTTAATGTGCCTACATGGTTCTTCGTTGCTACTTGGTAACCATCCTCTCGTGGTACTTATAGTTATTGGCTTTTGTATATTATTTTGTTAGAACCTAAACCATGAATTATTGTTTTAGCCATGTAACTTATGTAAAATCTAAGTATTTTTGTTGATGTTTATGCGTCTTTTTATTGGTTAAGGCAATTTAAATGAGAAAAAAGTCTTCCACTTTCCTTCCGAAAATAAAAAAAGTCTTCCACTTCTTGCTTTTGTGTTTGATCTCTGTTCAACCTAGTGAATCATTCTAAAGCATAAGTGGAAGCAAAAATTGAGAAGATTAATGCAAAAGTGGTAAAAAAAGGGAATCATTCAACCATAAGAAGACGAAAATTCGAACCTTATACAGACCATATTGAGAAAACAAAAGATATGCAAAGGTTTTAGTGAACTAGTGAGCATGGGAGTAGACTAAGAGTCACTAAATTATTTTTGAATGCGTGAATATATATACATATATATTTGCTTATACAAACACTTGCATACAGAAAAATGTCATTTCCTTCTTATATCCTTCTTGATACACAAGGACATATGATTTGTAAGTTCCAAATTTCATGTTATAGTCAAAAAAAGAAAAAAAAAATAAAGAAAAGAAAAATCCACTTACTATGAATAAATTCTGTTGTAAATAATATAATATTCTATATAAAATATATTTTATTATCGTTTCCTTGCTGTGTCTGTGTAGGTGTCCTACTTTATTAAGATCTAAACTTACTATGTAAACATGGTAAAATATAAACATGTATGTGCCATATGGACTGTTCATATATATATTTTTTTCGATGACTGTTCATATTCATGCTTCTCAGATTCTTATTATCTGGTTTCTCGGTATCTCCATGATTTAATTTTAACCATATACAACCAATCAATAAGAAATTCATTACACTGAAAATGCTAGAAGTCTCCTCGATACTCTGAATGTTATATGACTTGGCATAATTTCCAAGACTCTTTTCTATGAAAATGTGACTGAGATTAACACAAGGGTCTTCTTATGTTTGATTGGATTTGTCAGTAAGTTTTTTATGCATCCTCTTGCAGGGTTTGATTCTTTGTAAAAGAATTTCTGATTGATGTACTATTTTCTAGAGATTATACCTATTCAGTTTCTGTGCTTGTGATTAAGGTTGTATTGATTATATATGTCAACAAATTATCAGTTCTTCTGACATGCTTTATTGGTCAATGTCATCTTACATCTTATTGCAATTTTGGCTATTATTGTGGTATACATAGGGAGGTTATTAGCTCGTCCTTTTAGATTTTTTGCACATGACTTCCTCGATTCATTTTCCCCAACTCTGGGTTTTTAATCTGTTCTTGTCAAATTTTATTAATTTCCATTTTAAAATGGCTCTTTGAACTTGCTGAATCAATGCTTCGCATGAAAAATTAACAAACTTTTCTTATTCAGATCCTTTGGCGGTCCAATGAATCATTTTGTTTCAGCAATGGGAGATATTTCATCACTTCTTGTTGTTAGATTATTGAGATTTCTACTTAATGCATCTCTATATATTTTAGACATTTTTTAAAGGAATTATGGTGACTCTCTTGAACTATGTTGGAGGAACTTGATTCCAGTTTGCAATTTCAAGTAGTTGGGGTTCTGCAGTTAGAAGATTTTAGTATTGAAACAGTGACCTATTTGGTGGTTGTTTCTTATTCTTTTTCTTGTTTTTGTCTGGGTAAACTTTAAATTGTTTTATCGTCTCACATTACTGTATCATCCAAGAAAACTGGGAACAATAAGTGACACGATATGGGTTAGCCCAATGCAGGAGGTTCCTGCCATTGTGGGGTCTGGGGAGTGTCAGATGTACGCAACCTAATGCTTGACCTCCAGAACACAATAGAGCAACCATACCGTTGTGTCAAGGTTCCTCAGTAAGTGATATGATAGTAATTGAAAAAAGAGATCTATTAGTTGTTTCCGAGGAGCTTGATTAACTTGATTTAAGTATGTGGGAATCAAAGAGTTCAATTCTTGATGTTGCTTTGTGAATATATGCAGTCATAAAGTTTGGCAGTTGTGGAGGTTAAAAGGGAGTAGAATTTAAGCCCTGGGAAGGAAATAGTTCTGCCTTTTGTGGGTATAAAAAAAATTTGGAATCTTGAATGTTGGAGTATTCTACTTTGATGTTCCCAAAATATGGCCCTGGTTTCTTTCTGTGCACACTATTCTTTTTTATCCTTTAACTATCTCTACTAAAAGGACCCAAATATTTTGATACAAGGAAATCAATATATAAATGTTGTTTTCATCTGAAAGTTACCCAAATTTTCTGTAATGTGTTTTTTCTTCCTTAGAAATTGGAGAATGAAACACTTTGATGTTGGAAGAGAGAAACTTGGGATTGCATCATTTCCACCTTGAGATATTGAGAAAATTATTGACTGATCAGAAGATATCAGCTTGCATAAATGGTCATCATTAACGTTTAAAATGCAGCTGAAAAACCAATTTCAGATGGAAAGTTGAGAGAAAAGGATTCATTATGATCATGGTATGCTATAAATTTCTAAATCAAGGAATGTTATGATCCTTTATCTTGTAATATTATCTTATCAGATCAAGACATTTTACTGGGGTGGGGATGGATAACTAGTACTATAAACTATTTAATTTAAATTTTAAAAAATTACATATGAGGTGTAATATAAATGTATTTAAGATATGTCTTAGTATATATTCTTGATATAACGTAAGAAATGAGAAAATACAACCTACAAATATGAGGCCAAAACAACCTAACTGAATAGAGTTTGGAAAATCGATAAGAGAAGGATAAAGAACAAAGTGAAGAACACATTAGCAGCCGGCAAATGAGCCTATCAAGTGCCATCTCTCTCTCTCTCTCTCTCTCTCACACACACACACACACACACACACACACACATTCATATAGATAAGTAGTGATTTCTGTAAAAAAAAAAAAAAGGGCTTACTTTTGGTGCCTCATTTGTTTTTGATTTCCTAACTTAGTTGACATGGACTTCTTAATTGTTTTTGTTGGGCTTCTGCACATATCACCACTGCTGCTGCTACTACTTGATAGAAGCCTTTGTCATTAACAAGTTGGGATTGTAATGATATTTAACTTACTCTCATCACATTTGCAGCATTGGAAATTTCTTCTTTGCAGGAGCGCATACATTCTTTCGGTCTCTAGATGCTGCAATATTTTTGTTTTCATGTGTTTCAGATATCCCCATAGAAAGGCTTGTCCTTCCAGTGATTTCTACGAATGACGTGCTTACTTGGGTTGTGAACTATGGGTATGAACATCAATTTACGTTTTGACGTGGTTATCTTTTGAAGGTGAATGCATATGGTTCATGATAATTAAATGATTTAGAAATGATGATTCTATGTTGTCTATTAAATGTCTCCATATATGTTCACCACTAATTCCTTGGTTTATAGTTCATATGTTGAAGTATCCAATATGGCAATATGGGTAGTTGATATTTTCTTATTTTTCTATTATCTATTTATTTACATTTTTAATTTTTTGAGGGGCTATAAATTGCTTTATTTTTTGGTAGGACGTGTTTTTCTTTAAAGAGTAACAGCAGGTTAGGCTTTAAAATTATAATTGCCGAAGCGAGTTAAGCATGAACAGTGTTTGAACTTATCGTATTTGGTAACCACTAATGCTGGATCAAATTGCTATCTATCATAACTTTGTTTATATGCAGATGGAAACACAATATAGTTCTAGAATCAAGTTTTAAGCAATATATATTCATTAAAAAAAAAAAAAAAAAAAATTACTGTGTCAAATTGGTGAAACATACATTCATCCATTTCAGTACATAATTGAAAACTAGATATGGACTAAATTATCCAGCTAGTTTGCCATCCATGTACCAAAAGGAGACCATTATATAAAGTTTGGCGCACGCACAGCTGTGACCCTCAAGTCCAATATTTCGAGTTCATCATCAGTGATCACCCCAATAAATAACCTAATTGGGGGAAAAAGATGAAATATATAAAGCAAGTTCATCCATTATTTTTTTTTGATAGATACAAGTTCATCCATTATTACCCTCAAGGTCATTATCAACATCATCTGCTACAATCATATAATTATGAGCATCTTCTTCTCATCTTCAATCACTTCAATCTTCCTGTTCTGTAATTTCCTTCATTTTGCCTTTCCTATATGCATTCAAGTTCCTCGAGCCTATAAAATTGAACTTATTAGAATTCTCAAATTATAGAAATATATTGAACGTGTGCCACTTGGCATACTTTCATACTTGAATTAAAACAATTGTTATTATTTGGATAAGTATATATTCATTCAAAAGGCACCAAAACTAGGGGTTAATCCATCATGTACATAGAGAGTGTAGACCAAAAGATAAAGATTATATACTTTAATCTCTTCCAAAGCTTTACCAAAAAAAATCAATGAATGGTCTAATTGTGTTGACTCCAGATCTGTGGCTGCGCATTGGAGTCTGCCTTCTTCAGTGATCAAATAGTTCTTGCTTAGGTTGCTGTTCGGTGTGGGTTTGCTTTGGTTGCCCTCCCCTGCTCTGTTTGCTGTTGTGCTCATTCAAATTTTGTTGTAGCAACGGTCTTATTGTGTGGGTTGGGTTTGGTTCTTTGTTGCTCTTCTTGGGCTTGCGCCTTTCGGCTTGTATGTTTGGGCTTTGGCCCCTCCTTTTTGTACCTCTAGTTTCTGCTTATAATACTTTGAATTACTGAAAAAAAAAACCTCCCCCTAACAAAAAATACGAGGGAGATCAATTGCAATACTTGACAGTCTAGATTGGAGACTCAAATTCTTCAGACATACCTAGTATATTTGGTCTCCCCTAATTCTCTACCAGAGGCAAAGTGGCACCAATTTTAACACATTGCTAATTCTCTTCCCAACTCTATATCCTCTCGAGTTAGATAGAATATCCCATGCTGTTATAGGCATCACTCGGTGAACTCTTAAGAAGGTAAGGAGAAGGTCCGCATACATTATGCCATCTGATGAAAAGGGGGAATGCTGAACCTAAACTTTTCAAAATGTACATAAGGTATTTATTAATTTTTGTAAGCCATCCTTTGCAAAGTAGAATTTTGGTTTCATGCAGTAGGGGGGAAAATGTTTTAAAAATTGTTGCCTTCTAAATTATTTTTAGACTTTTTTTTAATATATGGCATGTTTAGAATTAAATACATCACATAGCCACATTATTTTGAACTCTTTTGTATTGGGGTTTCTTATGCTAAGATATGTTGCAGTTGTGTAAAATATCTGACATTATGATACTAATGTTATTTATGGAAAATTTTAATTTCCTTTACATAAATGTCCTTGCTCATCATGAACTGAATAATATGATGTTGTAATCATTTTTGAGGAAAATTTATTATAAAAAACATATGTGAATCAGAGTTTCTTTCTTTCCTTTATTTTCTTCATGTGCATAATCAGATTTAAGTTTCTTTTTCCCTTGTGTAATTTGTATTTAGGATGGAACTATAATATGTGGTCAGAATGAAATATCACATCCAACCACTGGATCCATGGAACCTGTAAATAAGGTATGCCCGTGTATTCTTGTCATGTGCACTATTCTTATTTTTTAATTTTGATTTTTAATTTTATTAATGCAAATGTTTCTTTCCATGTTTCCCCCTGCATAATCTTTGACTACCCTTTTTAATATAACTTCATAGCCATAGTAAGTTGTGGAAAGAAGAAACTAAACTTTTTCATGGATGTGTAACTATGCATGAAACCATGCATGTATGTACATTGTAGTGCTGTGTGGTTGATTGTTTGAATGCAACAATTGAAAGTTCAGTTACTTGACATGCTACTACAGTTACACTAACTGAGCTAGGCTGATGGGCCTGAATAAATGAAAGACACTCCTGTAAAAGCTTCTTTTGAATAAATTAAATTTGGTTGTAAAATATTCAGCGAGGATAGTAAGGTATTGTATTGTAGCAGGGGAATTTGCTTATGAGTACAGAGTACTTGTTCTAAATTCTCATTGTTTCTGGTGCTGTGTGGTGGCTTTAGAGTTGTTAGCATGGTGACTGGAGGTGATAACAATCCTTGTTGAATTGATTTCAGAAATAACTAGTTATTAAAGTTACTGCCAAACCCTTGATTTTGGTTCGGAACCAATTTTTTTTTTTCCCACTCTTTAGAATTCTGTAAGATTTCTACTGTAAGGCAGTTTATTTGAACTCGAAGGCTCGGATCCAAATCTGTTTTCTATAGAACCTCAAATCTGTATATGCTGAACTGAATTCATTTTCCCACAAATCTAATGAATATTTTAAACAGCTTTGAGAACAAGTCTATTAGTGGGCATCTGGACATTGCAATTCAATGATCCGTTTTATAGCACCTTTTTCTTTGTTGTAGGTCCTTTTTCTGCTCAGAAAAGGTTCTATTTCTTTCTGTTTTATTCAATCTGACAATTTATAATTCGAAATGAAAAAGAAAAGTTAAAAAAATACTAACACCAAAGAAATGATTAGATTTGCCTCAGTATGACTTGCAGAGCAATTATGTAATATTACCCGTAGCCTGTTACAGTATAGAGAGTTTCATTTGGTCATCGTTAACAAGTGAAAACATATGTTTTCTCCTTTCCTGTGTAATAAGAAAAATCCACGGGATTATGTATTATATTTTTTATATATTTTCTTGAAAAAATCAACCTAGATGGCATAATATTTCTGCCTATCCTTATCTTCCACAAAGAACATAGTTACATTTGTTATCTGATGAATATTGCGTCAAATAATAAGGGCGTTCTATATTTTAATGATTTGGTTTTTTTATTTGTATTAACTTTCCACAATTCTTTGCTTTTGAATTTTGATTTTAATGCATATCCAGATATAAAGAAATTCTTAAATCTTTTTTTTTTTTTTTTTTCACAAAGAACATAGTTACATTTGTTATCTGATGAATATTGCGTCAAATAATAAGGGCGTTCTATATTTTAATGATTTGGTTTTTTTATTTGTATTAACTTTCCACAATTCTTTGCTTTTGAATTTTGATTTTAATGCATATCCAGATATAAAGAAATTCTTAAATCTTTTTTTTTTTTTGTTTTTTCCCCCCCACACGCTCCCCCCCCCCCCCCCCCCAGTACTTTTGGAAAGCACAACTCTTTTATATTTGTAAATTTTTGCCTCAGATCCAGACCCTAGATTTAAACTCATTAACAGCAATACAATGTGGCAGGCATTCAACGTCTATTATATTTTCTTAAAATTGCCTCGTGTTGGAAAACTTGAAATTGAATATTTGTTGTCCCGTAAGGAAAATAATACTGTGGTATGCCTCACATTGTCCCTAATAGCTGACATATTTTGATGTTGCATAAATTACATCACTGTGATATGCCTGTGAATCCTTTATCTGCGGCTGTTGATAGTCTAAATGCTATTTACTTGATAGGTTTTCCCCACAGCAAACCCAGCTGTCCTGGACCAGTTGAGCAGTTTGGACTGTATTATCTATGCCATGGGATCCCTCTTTACTTCGATCTGCCCCTCTGGTATGATTATGAACCATTTATTTTTTTGAAAGAAGATTGGGCAAGCTTGAGGTAATATTAACTAGAAACACACAGAAAAATGAAATGGAAGAGAAATTAGCTCATTCATCTGGAGGGGCAAAGGAAAAGCCCAACATAGGGGTCATCTGGTTGTTGGTCCTGAATTGAATCTGGTTTCAGTTTTGGATTGCTTTCTTCCTCTACAGTTTTTTTTTTTTTTTTTGTCTTAAATGTTGCAAATGCTGTGCATTTAATATTTATCAGCCACATGTTAAATTAACTTTGTTTTGTATAACTTGTTAATGCTGCTGAACACAAATTTAGTGTTGCATCTTCCTGAAGCAGCTGAAAGCACATGAACTATGCCTTTTTTTGTTCATTTGTGTAACTGTTTCATGCCTTAACTTGTATATCTATCTGTAGATAATTGGAGTGATGATAATTGCAAATATACTAAAGTACGAAGGGACTTACCTAGCTTCTTTTTGTTTAAATATGGCTGTCCTAATTGTCTATTGCATAGATGATTGTATTTACTAACCTTAAATGTAAAGAAATATACCCTACAAGGCTACAAAGTATTTTTCCACCGACTTTTTTTTCCCACCCACTTTTGATCCTTCTTGCTGGTAAATGTTCCGTGGTCTTGTTCTTTTGTGGATTCGGTAGTTTGTTTATTAGAAACATAAAGAAAATTTCAAATTCTTATTAACTTGTCTAATTTTTGGGTTTTACTTGGCATTGGGGAAATTATCTCTTCAAGATCCTGTCCCAAGGTAATCTTCTGTCAAGCTATTAAGTATGTGCTTTTTACTTAAAAAAGAGACTACTAAGTAATTGTTCTATGGTTGTTTGCTTCTTCATCAACTTGAGGTTAACGAATTTGTAATGATTGGTTCCGTTGGAAAATTTTGAGTTGACATTCTCTCCGATTAGCCCTTCTATAGTGTTTTGATGTTAGAGATCCTTGAATATATCTATAGCTGCAAGTTATTAATACCTGATATGGTTGTTAATTTGCAGGCTTTAACATTGCTTTCTTTGTATTGATCCAGTTCCTTCCATTCGAATACTAGGTAGTTCTGTTGAATGGTACACATGATCAAGAAACTAGTGGCTTTTCTGCTTCTTGCTTTGTAGTTGCCATTACAGATGCTCTAAATCGAACTTAGGGTATCCTCATAATGGTCTCAAGAACCCTGTGAGTAGATTGATTTAGATGAAAGAGTTCAGATGTCAAGTAAATTGGCTATGTTGATACTGCGATGAATAAATTCTTTTGTTCGATCCATCAAGTACAGGAAATATGTATTTTGCAATTTCTGAATTTTTTGTTAGGCCAATCTGTAAACTGTAAATAGGATAGTTACGGTTTGATTAGCAAATAGAAATTGTTTGTGTCTATTGAAGATTCCATGGTGTTCCAATAACTACTGAATGTCTGTATTATATATTTATATCTTTGTTACATAGACTCTCTAATTTACCTTCGCATAGCCATTTCTACTGCTCGACATGGTTATGGGTACAAGATATGTGTCCGACACATGAATTCAAATCTGATGCTCCAACCCTTCACACGGCATGCAAAGCTATTTCGGGAAGAATCCATTTATGAATAGAAATATGGTATAGAAGACAGTACGAAAGAAGCATTTGCATTGCAGAGCAAGAGGAAGCATTAAAGCAATGCCTTCGAGGCGAAGGTACCTCCAGTGGGAAGCAGGGATTTCGAGTAGAGCGGAAGTGGCCAGCAACAATGACCAGAGCAGAGCTGAGCCTCTAACTCCTTCAAGAAGTTGTTTTCTAGATTAATCAATCCTACTACCAAAAACAGGTATAGAACACATCTATTGTGATGTTTATTTTCTTTTGAAGTTTTTTCTTCATATTATATTACTAATTAAGAAACTTTGTAATAATTTCTAAATTAGGGTTTTGACAGTGGTTCAACAAGGCTTGTATTATATGGATTCCGTGGGAGTGAATTTTATGGAAGAGGAGGGACACTTGTAGTTGAAATAATATCCATAATACAGTCCCTGAAATTTCGACATCATATTTTCTGAAAGCATACAACTCCTTGTAATATATCATCTCATTCATATAACCCAGACCTACTTGACAAGCTGGTGACTATTGGTCTCTGAAAGCTTAATACAGAATTTTTGACCTATATTAAGCATTAATTTATTAAAATTTTTATTCAACTATCTCACAAATTTGAGTATTAAGAAAATCTTGTACTGTATGCTTCGTTCTGTTAAGTGTTTGGAATGTGTTGACCAAATGTCCGAGATGTGTCGACTAAGTATCCAAGATGTGTTGGCCAACTATCCGAAATAATAATAATTTTGTTTTTTCAAAAATAAGGGACACAACCATAAAATGTGTCTAAAGAGTGTTAGTGTCTGGCACAATGCATGGCACCTCGTGTTCGTACTTCTTAAATTATTAGGTATGATAACAATGCAAATAATATGATAAGGCTAGTGCCTGGATTTGACTTTAAAATTTGGGTGACTTAAAAATTGTGGTCAAGTTCCACAAGTGTGCGTACTTCTTAAATTATTAGGTATGATAACAATGCAAATAATATGATAAGGCTAGTGCCTGGATTTGACTTAAAAATTTGGGTGACTTAAAAATTGTGGTCACGTTCCACAAATAAAAAGTGTTGTCACTTAAAATCAGTTACTTTACGAGAAATGCTAAGTGCTGTCTTGGTTGTACAATCATAATTTCATAACATTTGGACTCGTGAGCCTTATCGTGGAAATCATAAAATTCAAAGTTTTAACTTACACTGTGTTAAGTGTAGGCATAGTGATAATTGTCCAAAGCCTAGGGCTAGTGAATTGGTGGCCTGGTTTTAGAGGGTCAAATTGGTCATCAAACTCTTCATAATTTGCTGATCATAATGCTTATTGCTCTAGTTTCTAATTTATTCTTATATATATATATATTTTTATGCTTCTTAATCATGATATGGGTGACCCAAATAAAAAATTCACACATTTATTTATTTATTTATTTTTATCCGGACTTGAACTCTCACAAACAAACATTGAGAACTTGAAAAAATAGTACTAGACTGCGTTCCATTATGGTAAGTTGGCTCAAGTTGGCTCATATTTAATGGATATAGATTAGGATTGACTACCAGCTAAATATAATTAAGGGCACATTACACAAATTATCCACGAGATTTTTATATTGTGCATGTAGATAAAAATTATAACAATATTACAACAAGGTTCATATTAACTGTTTAACCACAAAAAATCAATATAAATTTACACTTCTAAACTTAAAATTAAAGCATTTATTTTTAATAAAAAAATAAAAGATATTGTATATTGGGAAGTTTTATTTTTGCCTCTGGTACACCCTATTGCTTCCCTACCACACCATTACTCTTTTCTCTCTCTAAACACATAATTCCACCCTCTCTCCACTGTAACATCCACTACCTTCCTCTGCTTCCACAATCTCACGGCCTCTTTCCTCCACCTTTGCCACCGCCCCCACCCCCCTCAGCTCTTCAACACCACCACGTCAACACCACAAGATCAAAGCTTTCATCTCATCTCATCTCTCTTGTCTGGAGGAAGAGCAGCGGCTGCGATGAGGCCTTCATCCTCTCTCCCGGCGACGCCTACAACACACATATTACAATCCCATCATTGTTGTCCTCACCCAACCAAACCCTAATTGTCAAATTGCAAACCCGTAACCAAAACCAATTCACAAAACTCAAACGCAAGACCCAAACCACAAAACCCCAACACAGATCAAAGCCAAGCCAACCCAAAACCGTCACCACTGCCAAAAATTGTCTTGCCGTGGTCAGAATATCACGGTCATCACCAAGCCTGTTAGTCGTAACTGGAGTCGCGTCTCGCCGACATGAAATGCAATAAAGGAATTGCCGATTCGCTCCTCGATCTGAAGCGTCAATGCGTCGAGGACGTCTCGATCGCCACTGTCGTTGAAGAGAAGAAGTCGTTGCCCTTGGATAAGCGTCGCGATGCGAAGCGACGCGACTAATTCACTCAACCCAGTCGCCAGAATCGATGGCGTCGAGCGACGGCGGCTGTAGATGAACTGCGGCAGTGCACGGCGAGACGGATCCGGCTTTGGCGATGGCAGCTTGTGCACACCGAGGTGGATATGGGCTGGCTGTGACGGCGGTGGGCTGGTTGCAACTTCGGCTGTGAGCTCGAGGATGATGGCAGCGAGCACGGCTTTAATGGAGGCGGCGGCAAGCTCGGCTTGATGGGCTCGACCGTGGAGGATGTCGGCTGTGATGGAGGCGGTGGCAAGCTCGGATGGGGTGAGCTTGGCTGTGGCGGATGTCGGCTGTGATAGAGGCTGTGGCAAGCTCGGATGCGGTGAGCGAGATTGAGCTCGGATGGTGGAGAGTTGTGTTGTGATGGCAGTGACGGAGCAGCGAGCTTAGAATAGAAGACTCGGCTTTGATGAGGTCGGAATGATTTGTGGCTCTGTGGTCGGATTTGGGTCTGTGGTTGGATAGTTTTGTGGTTTTTGCAATTTGGTCTGTGTCGGCTGTGACGGAGTCTTAGGGTCAAAATTATATCTTTAACAATACACAATTTTTTTTTTTTGATTTTTTTATTAAACAAATAGTTTACCTCTAAAAACAAAAATATAAATTCATATCAATCTACTAACTACAAACCGTTAATTTGGGTCTCTCATATTGTGGCATTTTTTATTTACATGTACAGGTTTCAACCTAAGGGTCTTTCGTATAATTTATCCTATAATTAATAAATAACTATGACCAAATATTTAATGGATATAGATTTGGAGTGACTAGCAGCTAAATATTAATTAATAAATAACTATGACCTAAAGTAGGGCATAAATCAACTTCAAATCATCAATGGTTATTGATTAATATTAATTGTTTTATTTTTAAAATGTAAGTCTTAATTAATTAAGACAAAAAAGTAGATAGACATCATTTAATCCAATACCAATCACCAAAATGTTATGGTTCATTGTCCCAATGGGTTACTGTCAGATAAAAAATTAATGCATGTTTAGCCACTTATTTTTGTAATTAGTGGTTCATTGTCCCAATGATCTGCGTGGGTTATTCAATGCACTAATTAATTCGCAGCTAAAACGTAGTCAAATTGTTTAGAAAAAATAAATAAATGAAAAATATCTCAATCCTAAAGGGCGGCAGATATTTATATCCTAAAGGGGGACAGATATATATATATATACCTTGTTAGTTGCTTTATTATACCCATCAACGCAACTCCTCCCATTAAAAAATCAATCGTGGCGGGGCGCACACACACCACAGAACACACACACCACACACAAAGGTGTCATGGAAACAGCTTCATGTCTTCGTTTCTGTGTCCTCCTCTTCATTGTTCTTATCTTTTTTGCACGTTATTGGTACCCTCCAAACAAACCAGGCTTCCTTTGGAGTTCCTACAATAACGCAAGGATTCATCCCAACTTGGCCTGTGTCTTGGAGACCCAAATTTCCAAGCTCAATGAGACACCTCTTCACCCACTAGACCCACTCACTGCACAAGAAATCAACAAGGTCCGAGCCATCCTCTCAACCTATGCACCCTTCTCAAAATCCTTCCCACAAATCCACTCTCTGTCACTCGATGAACCCGAGAAATCCCGGGTCATGGATTGGAAAATGGGCGACGCATTTCCCCCTAGAAAAGCATCCGTGATTGCATTTTTAGATGGTGAAACTCATGTTCTCACTGTGGACTTGGATTTGGGCCGGGTCACTAGCTATGTCACTAACCGGAGTTCGGGTTACCCGATGTTGTCCATGGACGACATTGCTGTGGCTTCACAGGTGACAAGGTCCAATCAAGAAGTTAATAAATCGATCATGGCCCGTGGTGTGGACTTTTCCAATGTGGCCTGCATAACACCCTCCCCGGGCTGGTTTGGGCCTGAGGAGGAAGATAGGAGGGTTGTGAAGGTCCAATGTTTTTCGAGCCAAGGCACGCCAAATTTCTACATGAGGCCCATTGAGGGGCTCACCGTGACAGTCGACCTCGATAAGCGGGAGGTCGTGAAAATTTCAGACAATGGTCGGGGCATACCCATCCCAAAAGGCACGAACACTGATTACCGGTTCACAGCCCAAGAAATGCCGCCAGAAATGGAGCCGATTGGACCAATATCCATGGAGCAACCCGAAGGCCCAAGCTTTCGGATCGAAGATGGGCATATGGTGAAATGGGCCAATTGGGTGTTCCACCTCAAGCCCGACCAACGAGCGGGTTTGGTAATTTCACGGGCCATGGTTAGGGACTCCGAGAGTGGTGGTCTAAGGAGTGTGATGTACAAAGGGTTTGCGTCGGAACTATTTGTGCCCTATATGGACCCGGATGAAGCTTGGTACTTCAAGACATTCATGGATGAGGGTGAGTTTGGGCTCGGGGCCACAACCATGTCACTAGTGCCACTCAATGACTGTCCTAGGCATTCACACTACATGGATGGGCTTTTTGTGTCTGCTGATGGAAGGCCTTATGTTCAGCCCAACATGATTTGCGTGTTCGAGCGTTATGCAGGGGATGTGAGCTGGAGACACTCCGAAAACCCAGTAAATGGTTTTGAGGTTTGTGCTTACCAACAATAATACTAAAATAACAAGAGTAGTCACGGACCTCACGAACACTTCATGAACATTCCTGGTGACATTGATACTTTTTGAGCAGACTTTATAGCATTCCGGACAGATCCTACATTCTAAGTCTTATATAGAACAACATATGATTAGTCCTACAAAATAACATTATGACTTTGTGGCAAAATGTCCAACTTAACTCATAGACATATAAAGGAAAATTTATATTTATATTAGCCGCCTTCATACCATGTCCATGTCGTATTTATTTATTTAAAATTTGAGACATATCCATGTCCATGACGTGTTCATGCTTCTTAGGAATAATGGTATTTGTATTCTTGTTTTTTTTTCATCTCATTTTCATGAACTAATCGGCAAGAAATTTTTAATTACTATCGATTTTATCTACTTGTTATATTGTGTTTGCACAAATTCAGTGGTCTCATACTTAAATTAAAATGGTACAGATTAGAGAAGCAAGGCCAAAGGTGACGCTTGTGGTTCGATCAGTAGCAACAGTGGGGAACTACGATTACATTTTTGACTGGGAATTTCAAACAGATGGTTTGATACGCATTAAGGTAATTTTGCAATGACAATCAGGATTTTTAGAATTTTAATTTATATTTATTTCATTATTTTTAGTTGTCAAAATTGTTTATTTAATTATGATTGGAGAATTAGTTAATTGGAGTTTCAGATATGTTGTGTTTAGCTTGTATTTATAAGGATTGATTTTGGGTTATTGGTATTTTGTTTTTAGTGTTAGTTTTAGTAAAAGAAAGATAAAAGAATAAGAATAAGAATAAGAGGGGAGCAAAGATTCATGGAAGGGGCTACACGGATAATTGCGAGGGTTCCCACGTCCCACGTTGTCATAAAAAAAAAAAAAAAAAAAATTCGTGGAAGGTGGAGAAGAATTGGAATGAAATAAGGGTAACGATTATACGGGGGGAGGCACTAGAAGATTATTTGGCCAAAATTCTGACTTTGGCTGCTGTGCGTCACATGGAGGACATTAGTTACATTTTGTCTTTTGTGTTTGCTTTTGAGCGGGATTCAGGTGGATTTGGTTTTAGTTGCACACGGAGTATGTATGTATATATATATATATATATATATATATATATATATATATATAATGTATGTTTTGTGACTATATATGTTTTGTGCCATGAGTGAGTATTAAGAGATCGAGAGAGCAAAGCGAGGGAAAGTTAGGAAAACAGAGAAGTACAGAGAGGGAGGAGAGATGCAGAGAAGGCCTCATTTATAAGAGTTTCCCATCTCTGAACATTCAACAAGATACCAATGGCAAGTGTGCCGGGATAAGATCCTTCCATCCAAGTGTTTGGGAAACTTCACTTTCCTGTTTGCTATCAATCCTTGAACAATAGTAGCTGTTCACAAATCACCTGCAAGGTTCACAGGAAATTAGTAGAGTGAGTTCCGCGTCAAAGCTTCTTTTCTTCCTCCATTTCCTAGACTTGACAGCTTTCACTGCTATAGGAGAATGAAGTTTTCCGAGAGTCTGAGATTTTGCAAAACCAGTGAGGAAAATAACTTTTATGGGTAGGGTTCTCTATACCTTGAATGGCTTGAGGTAATTTTGCTTCAAATAATTTGTTATACTATTGTTTTGGTCAAATTGCATATATCTATTTTTGTTCAAAAGCATATGTATATATGTGAAGCTAATTTTTTATGAAACCTCCTTGAAATTCTTGTTATGGTTTTTCCTACTAGGACTTACCGAAGATGATCGAGAATTGCTAGATTCGAGCTTAGGTGGAAGAGTTGGTGTTGCGGGATTTTTATGTCTATTTAGATGTTATTTAGACATGTATTTTAGGGTTTTGAATTCTTATATATTTGAGGATCTTCTATATTATGGAGGTTGTTTTTATTTATTTTTTTTAATTTTTTGATCCTGGGAGATTTTTGATATAATTCGATGATTATTGTATTAGAATTTTCGGGTTTATTATTATTATTTTTTGTATATCATATGTATATACATATACAGAATGCTTCATCGTGAGGAAATAATTTATTAGATATAGAAACATAAACAGTCTTTTTAACTATTCAATGATATTGGATAGTTAATACTTGAGTCATGCATATATTTCTCATCATATATGATGCTTAAGTTATACATTATACTAAACAGGTTGGGCTATCTGGAATGCTAATGGTGAAAGGGACTTCTTATGAGAATGTGAATCAAGTGCCAAATGAATATGAGATGACTGGTCCATTAGTGTCTGAGAATGTCATTGGTGTGGTTCATGACCACTACATCACCTTCCATCTTGACATGGACATTGATGGCTCTAATAATTCATTCGCTAAGGTCAATCTTGTGAAGGAAAAGACTGTGCCAGGCCAATCACCCAGAAAGAGTTACTTGAAAGCTAAGAGAAATGTGGCCAAGACAGAGGACGATGCGCGGATTAAGCTTAAGCTCTATGATCCATCTGAATTTCATGTTGTTAATCCTTCGCAGAGGTCTAGGTTGGGAAATCCGACAGGGTACAAGGTTGTCCCTGGCGCGACTGCTGCTAGCTTGCTTGATCTCCAAGATCCACCTCAGTTAAGAAGTGCTTTCACTAACAATCAGGTACCATTTGTAACGATGTCATTACTTATTTATTTACCATTCGAATTGGGGTACTATACTGTTACAACACGGTGTTGTAACGTGTGGGCCCTCCACTACAATACAACACGCGTGCTGTACTACAGAGAATCCGAACTCCATTATGTAATCTTCACTTGACGTTATTATAGTTGTATCAAGCCTTGGTCTAAAACGGCTCACAACTTCACAAAACACAGTTAATTGGTACAAAATTTAAACTTTTAGGCCTATATTGTTTCAGCACGGTGTTGTAATAACACGGATAGGCAGGATGATTCACATGTGTAAGCTGTCCATTGCAATACAACACTCATGCTATACTACAGAGGATCCAGGCTTCATTATGTAATCTCCATATGATGCATTATTATATATAGTTGTCTCAAGCCTAGGTCTAATATAGCACACAACTTCACAAAACACAATTAATTCATACAAAATTCAAACTTTTAGAATAATCGGCTGTTAACACGATATTAGAGTCGAAGGGCACAATCCCAAGTCATACAATTATTCATGTCACTTTCACGTTCTCTGCGTGCTCCAACTCTCATGCTCAGTGTGACTTAGTAAAGTCAACGCCTCTCTCCTACTATTCATAATGCTTATTGATTTGATTTCAAACTTTCTTCGATATTTGCTTAATTTTCTTCTTGATGATGACAGATATGGGTGACTCTGTATAACCGGAGTGAATATTGGGCTGGTGGGCTTTTGACATACCAGAGCAAGGGAGAAGATACACTTGCAGTATGGTCTGAGAGGTACAGAATTCAGAAACCTAAAGCAACTCCTAATCAAATGCAGCGTTACTGAATATGTTCATTTTTGTAAACATAATGATAAACAGGAATCGTCCAATTGAGAACAAGGACATTGTGTTATGGTACACTATGGGATTCCATCACATACCATGCCAGGAGGACTACCCTATAATGCCAACAGTTTCATCAAGCTTTGATCTGAAGCCGGTTAATTTCTTCGCAAGCAATCCAATCCTTCGCGCCATGCCCAACTTCGAGAAGGACCTGCCCGTTTGCAGGCCTGCTAGTTCATATTGATCAACTCTCCCTGCAAGTATTTTATCAACTTATACTAAATCTATGCTTATACAAGCATTAATACATCTAGTGGAAGCTCTCCTCCCCTTTGGGGATGTCGAGTGTTCTAGCCCCGGTGGGGAAAAAAAATACATAGTTGGCATGTGTATTTGCTTGAACATCTATATATATATGCTATATGAGAATCAGTTGATATAGTTTGTTCTATTAAGGATTCGAGCAAGGTACACTAAACATTCATACAACTTGTATTGCATCCAAACTGATTCCCCAATTATTTTACTTGGGAATAATTCTATATTGGAATTGGCTACGAATAGAAATTATTAGAGTTCTCAATTACCAGATGTGAGCAGCACCTTATTTGACAGCGAGTGAGCTCATAAAGAGACACACTATTGTCATTCTGGCCTCTTTTTATTTTCTGAAGTACTTTGTATCATGCATAGAGCTCCAAGCTAGCTAACCTTTTGGTGGGAATAGCAATCAGTGAAGTTGTTTTTCTTCATAACATGATCAAGCACTTCGCCCTTCGGCATTTGCCAGTTGAATGAATGCAAGAGCGAAGCCAATATATCCGTAAGCATTTTCTCTCATTGCTAACTCTTCTTGGACCTTCAACAATGTTCATTCCAACAACAAATACTGTTTTTCATTACTCCTGGATGGTACATGAGCCCTGCCATTACCCATTCAGCCACGGTTGCTGTTGTGTCAGTCACACCGGCCACAATGTCCTGTTACAAACATTTTGCTATCATAATTAGTTCAATCATAGGATATGATGCATTTTTTTGATCTATTTGTTTAGTATAGCATCAGAGCACAATCAAGTGCAATGGATAGGCCTAGTTCTCTATGAAGGTATTCGATTATAGGATAAAGTGATCGATAAAATCTTCTGGTATTAACTCAAGTATGTTACAATTAGGTCCAATCATCTGATGGATACCATCTAAATCAAGTGTATAGCAAGTCTGTTTCATTGGTTAAAAGCTTAAATTTAACCATCCAATATAAAATCTAGAATGAATGACTAGAACTAAATGAAACTAAAAATAAATGAAGAAACCCATAAGATGAACTATAGCAGCATAAAATCTAGGTGAGACCTACTGCGTCGTAAGGATGTGCCTAAATTTCAGCTAAACATGCAGTATCATAAATGTTGGCAAAAGAAATTACTATCAAGGTAATTGGACTTGCAGTATCATATGTAGTGTGAGAGATTATTTATATGTGGTATATTATTTATTTGTTGTAGGTCCTTTTTCTGCTCAGAAAAGGTTCTACGAGTATTTCTTTCTGTTTTATTCAATCTGACAATTTATAATTCAAAATGAAAAAGAAAAGTTAAAAAAGTACTAACACCAAAGAAATGATTAGATTTGCCTCAGTATGACTTGCAGAGCGATTATGTAATATTACCCGTAGCCTGCTACAGTGTAGAGAGTTTCATTTGGTCATAGTTGACAAGTGAAAACATATGTTTTCTCCTTTCTTGTGTAATATGAAAAATCCACGGGATTTTGTATTATATTTTTAATATTATTTCTTGAAAAAATCAACCTAGATGGCATAATATTTTAGCCTATCCTTATCTTCCACAAAGAAATTGTTACATTTGTTATCTGATGAATATTGAGTCAAATAATAAGGGCGCTCTATATTTTAATGATTTGGTTTTTTTATTTGTATAAACTTTCCACAATTCTTTGCTTTTGAATTTCGATTTTAATGCATATCCAGATACAAATAAATTCTTAAAATTCCATTTTTCAATTAATTTTCTTTTTTTTTTTTTTTTTTTTTTTTTTTTTTTTTTTTCAGTACTTTTGGAAAGCACAACTCTTTTATATTTGTAAATTTTTTGCCCCAGATCCAGACCCTAGCTTTAAACTCATTAACACCAATACAATGTGGCAGGCATTCAACGTCTATTATATTTTCTTAAAATTGCCTCGTGTTGGAAAACTTGAAATTGAATATTTGTTGTCTCGTAAGGAAAAGAATACTGTGGTATACCTCACATTGTCCCTAATAGCTGACATATTTTGATGTTGCATAAATTACATTACTGTGATATGCCTGTGAATCCTTTATCCGCGGCTGTTGATAGTCCAAATGCTATTTACTTGATAGGTTTTCCCCACATCAAACCCAGCTGTCCTGGACCAGTTGAGCAGTTTGGACTGTATTATCTATGCCTTACATGGGATCCCTCTTTACTTCGATCTGCCCCTCTGGTATGATTATGAGCCATTTATGTTTATAAAAGAAGATTGGGCAAGCTTGAGGTAATATTAACTAGAAACACACAGAAAAAATGAAATGGAAAGAGAAATTAGCTCAGTCATTCAGCCACATGTTAAATTAACTTTGTTTTGTATAACTTGTTAATGCTGCTGAACACAAATTTAGTGTTGCATCTTCCTGAAGCAGCTGAAAACACATGAATTATGCCTTTTTTTGTCCATCTGTGTAACTGTTTCTTGCTTTAACTTGTATATCTATCTGTAGATAATTGGAGTGATGATAATTGCAAATATACCAGAGAAGTCACTGTTGGAGTTGGTGGGCTAGTGAACACAAATGGGATACACTCACATATATTCATTTGGAGCGTGATGAGGAAGCTCTTCGACGAGTATATCTGCAAGGAGAAGCCCGGAAGGGCTAAGTCTCTCCTATTTGGCCACCTCATCACCTAGATACTGATTGACCAGCGCTACCCTTTCCATCATCGGGAGCACCCTGAGAGAGGTTCCTGTCACTTCTTGAAGAAAGACTGGGACAAGAGCTACAATACTATTATCACCAGACTGCAGAACCACGCAGTAGTTACTGCAGAGGAGCTTGAGGCTGAGGAGGCAGAGGCAGCAGCTAAGGCAGCAGCAGCAGATCCCGCAGCGGACGATGTACCAGTAAGTCCAGCTGCCGAGCACATAGACATCGACTTAGAGCGACCTACAGATGACGGAGAGCAGCACTCTCCAGCTGGGTCGCCAATACATGAGGAAGAGCAGACTCAGGATCTTTCTTTTAATTCATCTATACATGAGGCTCCTAGTCAGACCCCCGGCTTTGGAGAGCGTCTTCAGGATTTTGAGGATGTAGTGGTTGCTATCAGAGCTGATACTGCTGCTATTCGAGCCGATGCTGTAGCCCACCGAGCTGATTTTGTTACATTCTGCACGGATGTCATGGCTGCACTCCGAGCTTATCTTGCGATATCCGCGGAGCTCGCCCTGCCTGTCTTGCCTCGTCCACCTGAGATTTCCAGTTTCTTCTATCTTTTTATATTACACCTCTGTGCTCTATACTTCATTTTTGTCACTGTATATTATTTGCAGCCGGATATGTCGGCTTTGCTCTTTTAATGTACTCTATACTTTATTTTCTTTATATATGTTTTTGATATGGATGTCATCTATTATGTTCTCATATCTATCTGTTTGACTCCATCAGGTGCATCACAGTGACTACAGTGAGAGAGACTGCTACACAATTTTCAGGACCACCCTTATACCTCTCTCACTATTTTATTTCATTTACGCTTGCATGTCCACTGTGCACTGATTATCCTTTTTTGTTATCTAATGAGTTTATCCGAGTACCAAATTTCAGGACCATAGTTAATCCCAAGTTTGGGGGGGCCATGCCACCCACTTTGGATACTTCAGTCCCAGCCATTCTTTGCCTTAATTGCACCGGTATACTCTATCCTTTTGTTCTTTTTGCACATTGAGGACATTGTGCCGTTTAAGCTTGGGGGTAATGGTGTACTTTACAGTGTTAGCTTTAAACTTCAAAATTTTGAGCATGACTTGTGTATTTGAGAAATTTTCTATGATTGGTCCATATCTAGCTATAATTTTGATCTTTTGAGGATTATATTGCTTAAAATTTAAAAATTGCTTGACTTGAGAGTTCAATACTCCTTGTATGCCTTGTGGAAGCCATTTAGGAGTAAATTTTTTAAAAGATTGATATCTTGCTTGCATTTGTGGTCCACATCATCTTGATTTTGTGATTGTTTTGAGATTCATTCTAGGATACTACACTAGCATAGGCGCACACTAGCATTCATTTGTGGGGTACATGCTTTGTTGATTATTGAATTGCTTATATCCCAATTGAGTTAGTAGTGCATTGAAAGCTTTCATTCTTGATAAAGGTGGATAACAACCCCTTTTCACTAAGTAGCCAGGATTCTAGCCTTATCAAGCATTGAACTTCTCGCGTTGAAAGGTGGAGGGCCCAAACTCTAGGTTAATAATTGAATACAAAAAAGAAAAAAAGAAAAAGTTGCAAAAATAATAAAAAGTGAGGACTTCTCCCAAAAGATGAGAAGTGGGAAATGATTAGATGGAGGTTGTCTTGATTTGTAGCCTAGTTGATTTGAGCTTGTAAGTCCGTAGGGGTGTTTGAACGCCTAATGCCCTAAAGCCGTCTGGTTTGGGAGTTATTGACCTAACGGTCGACCTCATGAATCACTAGAAAGCTTAATAGATCAACACATTGCACCATACTTCCATCTTTGATCCTAAAAAAAAAAAAAAAAAAAAAAAAAAATCGAGTGAAAAGAATAAGCGCACTTAGATGAATGAAGCTTTAATAAAAGGTCCACTTTTTGTCTTGATGATCGGTACTAGATTTGTGTGCTAGTTTAAGGGTAAGGATGTGATCATTTCTTTAGTTGGCTAAGATAACAACATATGTGATGCCAGTCCACTCAAAAGAATTCTAGAGTTGTTTTGATTTGCATGATCATTTTCTTAATGTGTGGAGGACCATACTTGCTTGCTTGATGTTGAGATTTTGGGAGATTGCTTAGAAATGTTTAAAAAATTGCATACTTGAAGTAGTTTTCTCCCAATGCTTGTTTGCAATATTGGTGCCTCTTTTGAAAGAATGAGCTTAATGTTTGTCGGTATCATTTCTAGAAACCCTTACGAGACTTTACTCGTCCACTAGGGGTAAGCTAGGGGTTTAAAAAGCTTGTTGCATGTGCTAAGTGCAATCGTGTTCCCTACGAAAGTGGCGTTATCCATTTATTACTTTCTAGTTCATAGTTGTTTAGTTATTCATTTCATTCCTTTACTTTCTAGTTCATTGCTAGGGACTAGCAATATTTAAGTTTGGGGGTGTGATGAGCGTTGAAAAATGCGTATTTAAACCCCTTAAGCTTAGGCATTCTAGTACCTTTATCTATCTTACTTTACCGTTTTAGATTGATTTCGTATTATTTCTATTTTCAGGCACTTATCCCGAAAATAAGCTAACTCAGCTAAATAAGAGCGGAAATGAAGTAATTCTGGGA